TTTTTATTTTGATCCCTTACCCCTGTCAGTTCGCAAGGACCTCAGTGCATCGATCAGAGAAAACATGGCATGGTTGGAGATGAAACCCTGACACCTTCAACCTAGGATCTGTTGGCATCTCCCATCACGACAATCTAAGTATGAAAGGATAGGTCTTTGGCCACGGCCACGGACGACTCAAAGAGGTCACCGAATTGGGCGACCCCAACGAGCAGGTGCTCTTGTTGGGCAAACAGATCAGAATCTCAAGCAAGCTTTGGACGCATGCATGAACATAAAACAGTTCCTTTATAGTGACGATAATATGATATGTAATATGTAATTATATCTATATGGCAGATTGCAATCCTATAGCATATATAGACGATGTGGTGAAAGGTTGCAAACCTTTGAGCCGTAATTGGTCAAGCTTCTCCTTTTTGGAACTGGATGGCATCATGTGTTTGTTTCTTTTTGTGTGTGTGACTCTTGAACCAGGCCATGCTTCATCCAGATCTCAACATTATATTCAATCAAGCTAGGACATTGACAATGCCGAACAAGTCTGTTTGTTTTGTTTTCTGTTTCTTTTCCACGAGACACCCTAAGATCTAAGGATGTAGCAAGCCATGTTGATTCCCAACCCAGGAGAAGAATGTGGAAGATTTGGCAAGCTTTGTCTATGCAGAGGCCTGCAGTTGTGCGTTTGGTTGGAAACCATGTTCCGTTTGCATGAAAGTTGGGTACCCGGACGCTCCGTTCACAGCCCGACTGGTCCCTCAAAACAGACTCGGGTCCGACCCCTCCATATGAGTGTCCGGGGTCGTCTGGGTATTTAAACGGTTCAGTATCGGCCGGACCACCTTTGTTTGATGGGTATTTCGATGTATTTCGGGTCGTTCCCAGTGGACAGCAGTGGACAACCCCCGTGTTCCGGTCAGAGAAGTACTTGGCGGACAAAACGATCCTGCAACAAGATTGTTCGATTTGTCAATCCAACTTGGTTATTACCTTGTTACTTGTTAGGGAACTGCGGCTTGCAGAGGCTGGAGGTTAGGTTAGGGGACACAAGAGAACTACATCTACAGCAGTGTGAGTCAGCGTTCACATCAACAAAGCATCCTCCAAACCTCAAAACGACGCGGTGTTTCTCACAACTCACAGGCTGAAGTGAATTGGAAAGACAAGCACCACAGCTGGCAGGGGCGGTGGATGTTCTTCGGGATGTTGTTCAGGGTGCTAAAACCCGTGGGCTGTTGGCCCTGCTGCCTTTCAGGGCTCTAAAACCGAGATTTGCCGTAGGTGATTCATTTGGCTTCATGCTGGACGAGTGAGCAAGTGAAAGATAAGGAGAGTTTCACAAGAGCCAGGATCAGTTGGCAACAATCTGAGAGGGTTCAAGGTTTGCCACTGGATCCCTGAGGTTCTTCCGCTTAAAGAAGAAAGGTCAACGGATCGGGTTTTGGATTGGATGAACGGGGATGGATCGAGCTACTGATCGCTAAAGGTATGTTGGGATTCTAGAAACGCCATCAGCACTGGGAGTCGGTATATTGAGTAATATCGATTCTCACCTTTTGGTGCAATCACCTCTAACTACAGCGGCCAGCTGGTTAATGCCAACGCTTCACACCTGCACGGACCTTCAGCCCGTGACCTGGTTGGAATCTCTATTTGACCTTTTAACGGGTTTCAGCCTAAGCGACTCCATCCTGGGATCTCAAGTTCGGTCACTTTGAATCAAGGTGGTGGGGTGGTGGAGATGTTTGTTCTGTTTGTTTGGCAGGGTTTCCTCCTCTGAAACGCGTGGTTACCAGGCTATTGAGTCGACCAAATATCTCCACCCATATCCATCACTAAAAAAGGACGTTTCGTGATGTTTCTACGCCAGATTTGGCCCAAGCAGGCATGAACAATGATTGGTGAACTGCAGTGGCACATCGAAGACTCCACAGGTTGGAGAATCTGCAGACCTTCTGAACCGCGAAGCCCGGGAGCCACGTGGAGTTTGGTGGTTTTTGGGCTGAGTTCCGCACCCCGCCGGTCGTTGGTTCTCTCAGGAAGCTGCTGGGCGGGGAAGCGCGCCGCTTCAGCCAATTCCTCGACTCCTTATGGCCTTTGAAGTGAGTCCACTCGCAGCCAGCTCGCAACCAAAACCGGGCGTTGTGATTGTCGGTGGTTTTGGGGTGCAAATGGGTTCCGGTTTCGGAGTATGAAGAGTCGTCCTCTGGAGCCGTCGAGAAAAGCCACCTTCACATCGGATCCACTGGACGAAAGAACGGAAAAGTGGATCATTGTGGATCATCTCTTTGGGAGTTGATTTTCCTCAGCAAGTGGGGGTTGTTCGAGGGTACCTGCACATGTTTCATCATATTTCCACAGATCTCTAGCATCGGGAGTCAGCTCATTGAGCCACTGGTGACTTTGGCGAATCTGGGGGGCTGGACTAAGGCCAAATAGGACTCTGCAGGAATTGACTGTGACTTGTTTTGTTGTTGGCACCCCTATTTTTTGTGCCACCGCCAAATGTTCCAGTTGGTTGATCTCTTTTTCTCCACACTGAGGTCTTTGAGCCACAGGCTGTGAAAAGAAAGCGATTTCTTGAGCGGAGAAGAAAACTGCGCGCCAGCATTGGGCACGTAATTTGAGCTTCCAATCTAAGAAAAAGAGATAAGGCAGATGTGGCTAATGTAGACTCTTGATTAATAACAATAATTTGGATTGTATTTGCATCATGCCATGGCCCCCCTAAGTGGTTGTTAATGGATACCCCTTAACCTCTAAAGAGTTATAATTAGACACCTTAGGGGACCCTGATATGGGGTGTTTTATGAATCAATGAGTCTGCATGAGGAAACCATCCTCCACACCTGGAACTCGTTTTGGAGTAGGGTGGGGGAATGGCGAAGTCGCAAAGAAGGGGCATGTACTTGTGGGCACTCTGTTAACATGTGCCTATAGTCTGGTGTCCGTTGTAGCGCTATTTGTGTCTACTCCACCATCACCCACTGAAAACCGTGGACGCCATCTGGCTTCATGTTGGCATGTTTGTTCGACGTGCTTGATGTGTTGTTCCGTGTTTGTTTCATTCCATATTTTTTCGTACAAATGTACTTGATGTATGAAAAATATGGAATGTGTGAAGTACTTGATGTATGGGTTTCTTCATACTTCCCTATGCCCCACCAATCTCCACGCCGTCTTCAGGCCGCCCGGCGATGGGCGAGCTGCTCTGGGGCGGTCGCGCTCAGTTGGCCGCACCTTGGAAAACCACGGCGGGGGGTTCGACTTTCAAGGCATTTGCTCACTCCCTGGAATGGTTGGATCCTTGATGTTCATGTTGTTTTTCTGTATATCATATTATGTCAAATGTCAATGCCACTCAATATTCCAGTCATTTTGAGTCACATGGGATGGTTTGGCACCTCCGGCCATGGCGCTGGGGACGTCCCCAGCTGCGTTTGCCTTCCCGTTCCAGACTGGTTCTTCGATTGAAGACCTCCCCCCCACGATGCTGACCTTCCGAAGGTCTTAAGAGGTGATTCCACTTCAGGGAACTCATGATTTCGTGTAAGAGCATCTTGGTGCAAGAGACATCGCTTTCATTTTGCTCGTACGCACCTCTTTTTTTTTGAGAGAGTAAAAACAACCGTCTAGAGTGTTGGAGGGTATGGCAGCAAATTGATTTTTCTTGAGATGATTTTATAGTTTGTTTGTTTCAAGTAAGTCTTAGATTCTAATAAGAGTGCATATCAAGCCGCGACCCCCCTCCCACCTTGCGACACATGGCGACGGCTTCGTGTCATCGCGGCGATGCAGGCTCCAAAGGATGTGGGCGGCTTCTTTCCAAGGCATCATTTCAGTTCGTTGGTTCTGCCAGGCTGCTGCTCGGCTGGGCGGATGAGAGCGGTGATTTGGGATCTGGAACTTTCGGATAACTCAAAACACAATGATCAACTTGAAGGAACACCTCTCCTTCCTTTGTTCCAGCCTCAGGTTGTTTTTTTGTGGAACAATCTCCAGTCCAAACAGCTAAAGGGATGACCGGGATGAGTTCCGCGCCCCACCGGACCTGGAGAGATTGAGAACTCGGCGCCCAGGTGGAGCTACCGGTGGTCCGTTGCTGTTCCTGGGAGGGCAGAAAGCATCAGGCGCGTGACACGAACACGACTGGAGCCGCTAGCTCGACCGGCAGTGCGGTGCCCCAAAACCGTGACATGCGACAGCAGCAAAGCGTGGCGCGTCGAGGGCCCCATATAATTGGGGAACATCCACCCCAAGGTGGCCGATGTAATTGATGATGACTTCATGTTGATTCATAAATCCCCCCAATACTATAAGGAAGATGCAAAAGGGCAGATGACCAGGGTGCGACAACATCATGTGCTCTTGTCAGATGCTGAAGTTGAATTCGGGCTTCATCGTTGAATGTTGTCCAAAAGCGGATCTCGTTCAAATCCGCTCGAGCAGCCAATAACCAGTTGCATCCAAGCAGGACAGCCCAGCAGAAGCGCTGGTTGTGTCAAAACGGAAGTATCATGAGATCTACATAATAGGTGCGGGAGGTCTTAAATTTATGTATACGAAAACCAAGAGAGACCAGGCACCTAATGAGAGATCTTTGGGGTAGATGTTTGACAAACTTGGACTTTGGTACGACTTTAGGGCTGACTTTCTGTCACTATTATTTGAATTTATTTAGCTTCTTTGTGCCAACCGAGCTCGAATGTACAAGATTGGCGCACCTGCTCAATCTATGCTACAATTGATGAACAAAAACAACCTTTCGGAAAACTTCACGACAAGTACGAAAATGACCAGATGAATCCCTTCTCCTCATTTGGTCGAAAGGCCCAAGGGGCCGGCGGCTTGGACGAGGCGGTTGGTGTTGCAATGACGTGTGGCGGTGCACCTTGTCGAAGACGGCTTGGCATCTCGGCTGATGGACGTTGCCGTCTTGGGAGAGAGGGGCGGTCTTGGGGAATGAAGGACAAAAAGAACGGATCAGATGTTTGGATTTTTGGAGCAGGTGGGTAGCTAGGCAAGTGGTAGGGATGGTGGATTGGTGGATTTGGTAGGATCCGGCTTCGAGAGGTCGAGGAAAGAAGATGAAAAAACATCGAATGGGTTGTTGTTTAAATCTTCGTTGCGGCAGGGTCGTTTCAGGAGGTTGCTTGAGTAGGCGTCGCTGAGCAGGGTTAGGTGATCCAACTGCCTATGTTTATCACCTCATCGTCAGTTCTAGCGTTGACATGGAACGGAAAAAAAAAACTAGCCAAGGCGCGATTGCAACTGGAAGCTCATCTCAGCACATGATGAAGGCTGGGGAATACTCTCCTGTGATCCAGCTGCCAGCTGCACATGCTTGCCAAGAGATGGATGATTAAGTAAATATATGACGTATAATATATATATATATATATTATATGGAGAGAGTATATAACAGTATATTTCTTTGGAATGTTTGTCAGGTTCTTGTTAGTCCTGAGTCCTTCCGTGACTGAACTCACACTCTTCTCGACAGACTTCAGAATGCACCTGATCTACAGAACATGGACGCATGCACATCTATACTCAACCCTCAAGAGCATAGAGGCTCCTCCTCGAAAATACTGACGCATTTCTCATGTCTTTCGTGCTCGTCCTCCCGCCTGCAGAAACAAAAACACAAAATGGGACTTGAATCTCAAGAAATGGGAACATCTCCACCAAGAACTTGCACTTCTGAGCCCCGGAGCTCAGTAGTCTGCACTTCTGAGCCTCGGCCGATGTCGCGTGGCCTGTCCACTGCGGTCGTCGTGTGGACGACTGCGGCGAGGCTATAGCGATGATCGTGGGCGGCGCTGGCACCGGAAGTGGAAGCCGCGGTGCAACTTTGCCGTTGCTGGGGACACTCGACGTGACACGTGAGGGTGATGGCTGGGTGAGGGAAGGCTTGAAGAGGATGGCAGGAAAGTGCAGTAAGGCAGGTGTCCTTTCTTTTTGGGGTGAGGGGATGGCAAGCACAGCAAGAAAGCATAAGTATAGGCTATAGGCTATAAGGGATTCTTTTCAAACGTGTTTATCTGGGTTTGAGAACTGCTTGGAAGCTAGAGTTGGCCAGAGAGCTTAGGTCAATCATGATCAGTCGCCGGAGCCGCAGTAAGGCCGGCATTAGGTCAGGTGCACCAACAGGACCTCAAAGGAAAGCAGTTTAGCACGTTTGAGCCCAAAGATTTGCCCTGCACGCCTGGGTTAATCGAAATTAGCCTTTTTGGATCTTTTTGGATTCCCTGGTCTTCGAAGCAGGTCACAAGACGTCACGAGTACTAGCGTGCAGCGTCATCGTCCATCCATACTAGTTTCAAGTGAAAGGTCACATTTGATGTTTGGGACTGGCACGGTTTGTATCCATGAGAAGCAAAAATGAACCATGGCCAAATTGATGTCAATCTCCAAGAGAGGTTACACATATATCAGTGACCTGAACAAAAGGACCCGAATGACCTCCAAGTACCCAACTGGCGCAACTGGAACTAGGGTCCTTCAACCTTTGTTGGCTGTTCCTTCCCACATGCAGCTACTCAGCAGCAGTTGATCCAGGCAGCTTATATCACAGCGGGCGAAGCCCGGCTCCAAGCCGAGGCTTCAGCACGCAGAGGCTACTTGCTGTATGTTGCAGGCGCGGTGACCGGCTCTCCAGAATGGACTTTTGGGACTGACTTCGATGTTGATGCAAACAAGCGACCTCAAGCCTAAACGACACACGGACTGGCCTGGCCGACCTGCACCCAAGACGGGACGGTGAGGCGGTGAAGATGCAGCGGGAGGTCGCTTGAACGACCTCTGGGCCTCGCAGGATGGTGGACTCTCCTGGCGTTGCATGTCGCAGGCGAAGAAGGGCGGCGAAACATAGCTTTCTGGGTGGTAGAGGTGTAGTTGTCTTAAGGTGCATTGGCGATCAATGAAGAGTCCATTTGTGGGATAGGGCGGGAGGTAAATATGATTTAACATATAAGTATACAGTTTGTTAAGTGCCACGATGCCACCTTTTTCAAGCACTAAAGAGACTTTTGGGTCAGCAAGGAGCTGGACTCCCAAAACGGATCATTGGATGTGCTGTGCACACCTCTTCCTTCACCAAAACAACGCATGGCTGCCCAACTCAAGCAGCCAAGCAGATAACTCAAACAGCACAGCAAGGGCCCAGGCGTCTCAGTCAGTGGCGGGCTTCGCGGACAGCGCGCCGACGGTCCAGGCGTCTCCATGGTCCCCCCGTGCCGCTTGTGCTCTCTTGAGCGTCTCCGGGCGACCGGAACGGCTGCTGCTCTGTGGAGGCTTGGCGGCGGCAGCCGAAGTCTGTCTGGGCACCCAAGTCTGGAGATTCCGGTGGAAGCTGCAGATGGGATTCAAAAAAGATCAAAGACAATGGACAAAGATGGAGTCGATGATCATGTTTCTGTTTTTAAACATCCAGTTTGAACTCACCACTCTTCCCTTTAATGGCCATTTTAGGACGTGTGTTCCTTGAATAGACCTTTATAGGTGTTTTTGGGGCCTCATTCAGGTTCGGTTTGTTGTCGAAACCTCTCAGAATGACTATAGCTCAAAGTTTGGTGGTCTCTCCATGGGTGACAACCAGCTGATGTTTGGTTTATGACATGCGCCAACGATTTGGCGCTCGCACTTTTTGTCGGTGATGAGCTGACTGGTGATGTGGAGTATGCCAGGACCTTCAAAGTCACCTCTTTGGAGTCTCTAAATGACCTTTTACAGTCCTAAGTGACCTCATCCTGGGATCTCAAGTTCGGTTGAAGGTCCTGGTGTAACGGTGCGTTCCCCTCTTCCACCCAGAGTGGGACGTTCGCCTCTTTTCACTCCAGTTCCCGACTGTCTCCGTACGTGGTGCGGTCCGGGTCGACACACCCGGGCGGCCACAGTGCGGGTCATGAAATATGAACAGATTCAATCCACTCAGCTGGTGTCAACCTGGCTTGGTAGGGGAGGCTAGGGTTCCTCAGAGCCTCCGTAAAGAGGACACAGCGAAGAAGAGATCTCCAACTCTGCGAGCGGCATACCTCGCTCTAGCGACAGGACAGTGGACACGCCGCGAAGAGTTTGGCCAGGAAGATGGTGACACCAACTGAGGCAAGTTTGTCAAATTTCAAGAGCCTCAAGCGGAGGTGTTTTCATCTCAGGCATAGCCCACAGCAGCTCAGGGTGCAAGTGGCAGGCCATGGAGGCAATGCTGAACAGACATGTTTGGACTGCATCTACTCAAGCACTCGGCACGCAACACACACGCAACACGCGGCACCTTGCAGCTGTCAACCCCTGAAAGCGACTCTACTATGCCCTGGTGAAATGCCGGTCAACTGGCTCAGGGATACAGTGATTTCTGCACAGATTTGGGCATTTGGGCGTGAGCAGGAGCCGGCAGCCAGATGCAGGATTCATCCCAATCTCGAGGCTTGATCTTGCTTTTCTTGCTTGAAAGTGAAGGCTGCGATACGAAAGCAACAGAGGCCGCGCTTTGCGGCAGGGGTGGCGTTGGTCATCAGGAAGGCGCCGAGGAATTGTCGCTTTAAAAAAGCCCGGGATAAGTCGTTTGCTGTATAGATGGCACAGACCATCACAGACCCCATGATGTCCTTTAGATGGGGGTCAATATATACTGTAACCACCTCTTGGGGTCTGTGCCATCTACTCTCAATCCACTACACTGCAGGCCTGACAATTACTTCATTCCAAGCTGGCCCACTGCTCCGGGAGCACTGAAGACATATCGGAGGAAGTATCCATTGCCTTCGTTGCACACCAGCCGATCTTGGTGAGAACTCTCGGCTCTTCTGGCAGCGAAGAGAAAAGCTTCTATATCGGGTTCTTCAGACCTTCTTCTTCGGATACTATGTGTATAGTTACAGAAGTTAGTTGATCACCCCGAATCACCACTAAGGAGGCTAAGTACTCATAGACACCTTGTGCACAAGGCCGGTCCATAGTACATGAGAGTGAAGAGTGGTGCACCCAGTATAGCGCAAAGTATACTTGACATGGAGTTCGTTGAACGTGCGAGGTTTGACCGACCTTAACCAACGAGGACCGCAGACGTCGGTCGTCTCGGTACCGGTTTCAGGCCAGACACCGATGTGGACTCCGACTCCAAAAGCCGATGTGACCATGTCTGAGGTCAAGATCTCTGGATGAGTGACGACGCAGGTGGGGCATGCGTCATCTCCGAACTGTAGGTGACTGCGAGACTGGTGCGCACCGGACAGTTTGGAGATCAAGGAAAGGAGCGACCTGTGGTAGATGAAAGCACCGACCTTAGACCAGTCAGCTTGTTGCATGTTGAGTCTTTCCAAGCCACAAAGGGTTCCGATCTGTCGATAATGCGTGCTCCGGAGCGAACCGGAGCGAACGCAGAACAAACGAACGCAAACGCGTCCCATGCTCTTCGTCGTGGCAGGCTTCAGTTGGCATCGGCTGCCGGAACCATCCTGGGCTCATATCACCGGGCGCTTTCGAGCAGCCTTGATGCCTTTGGAGGTCGAGCGTGGGTTGTGGGTTCAGTGTCTCTTGTCTTTCGTGGGAGTGAGTCAACAGTTTAGTTTAGTTAGACATATAGTAGTAGTAGTGGTGGTGGTGGTAGTAGTGGTAGTAGTAGTTAGTAGTAGTAGTAGTAGTAGTAGTAGTAGTAGTAGTAGTAGTAGTAGTAGTAGTAGTAGTAGTAGTAGTAGTAGTAGTAGTAGTAGTAGTAGTAGTAGTAGTAGTAGTAGTAGTAGTAGTAGTAGTAGTAG